ATGAAGAAAATAATAAGAGGGAAAATATTCTGTATATTGAATTGTTCTGCTAAGTACAAGGAGTTTCTCCTTTATTTATAGGAGAGGATAAAGACCAAAACACAAAAGGAATTCTATTCCTACAAGGAAACAAATCACTAAATATGAACAAGGAAACAAATCAAGAGCAATCCCACTTAGAATGGGATTTGCTCTCCTTCTTGCCGTGTGGTCCAAGGAGCACCGCCCAACAGGTAAAAATAGTTTTTTAATGGAAAATGGAAGTGTTTTAAGAAAAACAAAAAAATAAAAGAGGAAAGGTTTTAAGAAACGGAGGGAGTATAAGTTTTATCTACTATTATGGTGTATGTCTAGGTATGCTGCAGAAAGTATAAAGTTGGCTTGCGAATGGGGATACAAAAATGTAGAGGCCGGTGAAACTTTGACCGGTAAGTTTTTGTCAAATTTTGTCAAAGATGAGGTTTTGTTTCATTCATCTTCCTCGAATTTATTTTTACCCAAGTGCTTCTTTGGTGTACCTAGAAAGCATATCGATTTTTATAGATATTTTTACATAAAAATTATTTTTCATTTTTTTATTTTTTTGTAACAAAAAAATTGAGTAGTAAAAAATGCTTACTACTCATACGAGCACGTCCACACAATAATGTGTGTACCTTAGGGGTACCAAAGCATTTGTCATTTTAAGTGTATAAAAAACCCATAATATTATTAATTCAATATTATTGATAAATTTTTGAAATACATAAATATATATTATTGATGATAAATATGTATGGATGCAGATGATTACTTCAACTCGAGGCTCCCAATCGTGATGAAACGTATAGCACAGGGTGGCGTCCGACTGGCTGCCACTCTCAACCGCATATTTGGTGACTCCAACCTATAAAAATGGTGATACATAATTTGCTACAATATCCATTTATTATTACTATTATTATTATATTATTATTACTGTTATTTAATTATATTAATTTGTTACTTAATTAATTAGCTTGTGCGGACTAGTGTACCTCTATTTATCTTTCAATACTATTTCATGTAAGTGTATGTGTTTGTTCCTTTTTCCTTAATTTAATTAATTTATCACAATACAATTAATGTCAATAAAAAAGAAAACACGAACGATTTATTCGATCATTGTTGGATAAAGCTATTTGTACCTAATCCTACCTTATGTAGGATTAGAAATACTTGCATATATAAATACATGTACTCCTGTACAATTATTCAAGGAAAATACAATTCTTTCTTCAGTAGGGATCTATCCTGGGACATAAACTCCCCATTCTACCCCTGGTCATTTCTCTGTTTTAATTTTCAGCTTCATTAAACCAAAGAGAAGAACCCACCGCCTCATTATTGCGGACGGGGAAAAGCTCGGCCTCATTCTCACTGAAAGTCAAGTCGCCACCATATCTCTCACGCTTTGGAAATGAATTTCAACATATTGTCATAAATGAGGCATGAAAAAAATGAAATTTGAACTCTTTATAAGTACTGTCTACTTAGTTAAATCATTCACAATTAATCAATCAAAATGAGACTCACACTAATCACTCTCCCCGTCCTAGCTTTCGTCCTAATCCTTACCCCCACCTCCGCCACCCGACCACCGCCTCCGCCGGAGGCCGGACCCGCCACCCCCGGGTTCGGGCTGCCGGACTTTGGATCCGCCGGGGACAGTTTCGGATTACCTTCCGGGATCGTCGGAGGGTATGGGTCCGGATCGTTCGGCGGCCCGAACGGGAAGTCCGGGGTGGTGAATCAGCCGTTGGTGTGCCAGGACAAGGGCCCCTGCTTCCAGAAGCAGCTGGCGTGTCCGGCCAAATGTTTCCAGTCGTTTGCCAATAGCGGGAAGGGATATGGCTTCGGCGCCGCCGCCGGCGGATGCACCTTCGACTGCAAGAATAACTGTATTGCCTCGTGTGCTTAATTAATAATAAGCTGATTTACCAAAAGCTTTCTCGTGAGATTTAAACAATAAGACTATATCAATTAATCATGACTATCTATTATTAGTATGTCGTTATTACTGAGTATGAGATATGATTATTTTGGCACCATTTTTAATTGACACTGTTTTACCGTTGTCGTCTACTCTGTTCACACGAGATTTACCTTAAAATTGAAAGATGCCCATAAATAGATCTTTATCGGACCTGTTTGGGAATAATGTTAGAGATCGGCGTTAGCATTTTGGATAAAAATTTTAAATTACTTTGAAAACGCTAAATCTCAACGCTCTCTGTAGAAAGTCTTGTCAAAATGTTATTCCCAAAGAGACGCATAATTTCTTTTTACAACAATTGGAAATGATGGATGGAGAAATCAATAATATATATAGTGATAAGTGTTGATTAATTAATTAATTACACCAAATATGATGTTCAAATCAAGAATGTTGTGCAGATGAGGAGATTGGGGCTAAAGTAATTAGCTAGACTAGTAAAGATTGTTTGTATGGATCCACCCATTGCTTGTCCTCCTTCACAGCTTCTTCCCATCGCTCCATGAATACTTGCAGCTCATACGTTGATTCCCTCCTCAACTGCACAATACAACTTTAATCTAATCTCTTCCCAACTTTAATTTGTATTAATTACATTAAGAACTAAGAAGAAGATGTTCCATCAAGTATGGAAAACATATATTATTATTATTATTCAAAGGATATATAGCCAGGCCTCGTTTGGGACCAACATTGAATCTTAGCGTTTTTGACAATTTTTAAATGGTGCAAAATGAGTCACGATCGAGATGTACCTGAACTCTCGGATTAGCCACACGACCCTACATGAATTCATTCCTTCCAAATTAAACATCAATATGATTCATTAAGGCTGATGTATGTGTTCATTTAAAAGCAAAGGGGGGCAAATTAAAAGCTCAAACCTTTGGCACCTTTTGAGAAGGACTCAAAGCCTGCACATACCCACACACACACACACACACAGAGACACACAAAGAAATCATTAGAAGTTTTTGTTGGAGAGTAAAATATATATATTTCAAATGCAAGTTTGAGTTTTTAGTTGAATTGATTTACTAGATTTGCAGGCAGCAAAGACATACACAGAGTACCTTTTTTGGGGAGGAGCCGGAGCCCAAAGACTGAGTGCTAAGGTGCACCAAGTATTCACTGTCAACTACCCCGACATTGTTTGTCCGGTCCCCCTACAAATCCGAGTTAAAATATAAGCGTTAGACCTATCTTGCCCCAAAAAGGATCACCCCATACTTATAAAGGGGTTCGTTCGTTCATATTTAACCAATGTTAGTTCTATAACTCTAACAATTGCAGTGAAAAAAAAAACAACACTACCTGAGCACAATAACCAAGCTTCATGTCCATTCCCCATCCAAGAACAAGGTCATTCTGCCACACCACACATTGAATGAATATCTCAAATACTATGTCTTTTTGCAATTATCTAGAAGGGATTTTTTTCATTTCTGTGTAAGATTAATAGTAACTTGTATAAGATGCCACACGCAACGCCATGCACGTCGCGAAAACACTGGTGCCATTCCTTCCACAAACCTGTAAAATTAAAGAAAGAATGACACTTTAGTGTGTAATAACATCTTGAATTGAACTAGATGATTTTAGTGTGGTTCGACTCAAGCTAGACAACAGCTTACCCACTGCAGGGAGGGCCTTCACTTTCATCTGAACATTTTGTTCTGCCTTTGTCCAGATATACCCTTCTGCTTAAAACAATTGTGAATAATCAACAAACATGGTTTGGTTGAAGATAAGCACACACAAAAAAAGAGAAAAAAACTCTAAAGTGAACAAAACGTGGTGTTTGATCATCATCCAGCTAACCTGTGAACCCGGTTTCTTCTGCTTCTAACTGTTATCCTGTGGTGAATGCCTGGTGAATTAGGGTCCAGAGCTGGCTGAGATATCTCCAGCCCTTCCATTTTTACAATTTCCAGGTATCTGCATTAATTATTGGAAGCTGGTTTGTGTTAAAAAACAATTAGCAGAGTGATTAATGACCATGCATTTGATTTATGTGTCTGTAAACTGAGACCTTGCAGGGTGAAAATTCTGCACACCCAAGTCTTCATCCCATAGAAATATATAGTCGTAAATGGATACGACATCCGGATGCAGAAAACGCTTCGCAAACCACCTGAAATAAAAAGCACCCATTAACCTTAAGAACAAGAAGAAGAAGAAGTGGGTATTTAACTAGGTGAAATCCCCAACACTTTATTAGCTTCCCATGAAGATTTGTTTTAAAGATTTGCATAAAAAAAGAAGCTTTTTAGAATCCTTGACAAACGTCTTATTACCATTTTGTTTGACTGTAAGCAACTATATGAATGGCATCTTTACTCCATCCTAGATCCCACCATGCATCCACATTACCATCATAATGGAACAAAACGATTGTGAAATTCTCTGAAATGAACTGGTTCTAGAAAAGTTAGTCATTGAAATACTTATAGAGCAAAAAACAGAATTGAAGAGTGCATACCTTTCGAATGATTTCATCAACATTACCCTTCTGCTCAATGCCAACTGCCATTGCCAACAAGTTGTGACTGCCCTCCACACTCACCTGTATCATTTCAATACAATCTTGGTCCGAATCCTCGAATACACTCTTGTTATAGGAAACATTTTTTGTGATTGCTTAGGAAATCACGAGGTGTAACTTTCATGAAACCTTTCATAAATCTACAATAACAAGTTTGAGTTTTTTTGGTTGATAACTTTGTTATCATAGAGGGCACAAATTAGAATATTACAACCACCTGATATTAAAAAAAAAGAAGTAATATTCACGTGTAAGATTCGAGCAAATAAAGCATGTGAGAGGTGTGTTAGAATAAATATACAAATGCTTTTATAGTAGAATCACAACTTTGGGCATTTGATTGAGATGATAGAGTATATATGACCTTGGACTTTGAAATATGCTCCGCCGTGAGGGCCCTTGGCTCAAGATCGGATGAAGCCTCAACGATGCCACGTGGCAAAACCATGTGGGCCACACGAGAATTCTGGGAAAATTCATGGGGAAAAAACATGTGAGACCAGAGATGGAGAGTATAACATGAACCTAAAATATGTAAATCCAGCAGATAAATACCTCTGCAAAGTGAAGTGGACCAAATTTTGGTTCCATCTGATGGCAAGAAAATAAGAAGACATTATTCAGATGAAGTATTTGCATAGACATGAAAGGCATAATAACATGAACATGCATATATTTATATACCTCTTCTTGGTGGTATTGATAATAAATAGTGGTCATGTACACAAGAAGCAACATTAATATGCACAAAAATCCCATAATCTGCATCTGCTTCATCTTCAACAACAACCCACATGTTCTCTACAACATCATTTTCTCACTTTTAACTTGAACACAAATATAAAGATATATATTGTTGCAATTAATTAATTAAATATGGTAGCTAGCTAGACAAGTCATTCACATGTTCTCACCTTTGTTCTCATGCAATTCACATAAACATGAGATTGAGAAAAAAGATTAGTAATTACTAGCTGCCAGATATGTGAGTTTTCTTGAGTCAGAGGAGAAGGAAAAAAAGGGTGTTTTAGATAGTAAAATGTGTGGGAGGCGCCACCTCTGTAAGGGAAAGAAGATGAGAACGACAGTTCTGTCACTCATGCATGTGTTTTGTTTTTAAATCGTAAATGTAATTGGCCATTATTTGAATTATTATTGATAAAATGACGTCGGGTGGCAAAGAGTTGAGCCTGCACCTGGGACTTGCAGAAGCTCTATACTTAACATAGTTGCCTCCCAACGCAATTGTCAGGAATCGAACTCAGGTCCTATCCCCTTGGCACTCTTTGCCTTTGTCAGTTGTCAGGAATCGAACTCAGGTCTTAACCTCTGGGCACTCTTTGCCTTTGTCAGTTACCAGTACGTCACAATCTAACACGAGTGAGGGCACAAGCAGAGCACATGGTGTCTAGGTTTAGCGGCGGCGGGAAGGGGTTTAAATAAAAAAAGTTCTCAGAGACATTTTGTAGAACACGTGGTGTGCAATAACAAAAATTGAATTGTTACACAAATTATCCATTAATAATAGAGTTTTAAATAAACTAATGATAAAAATTTGTTGTATCAAAACTACATTTTAAAATAAATCTAATTATATTAAGTGTATATTACAAATAAATATATTTTTTAATAATTTATGCCCAAAGTTTTTAAAATTCAACTTAAAAAACAAAACTGTAAGGAATTATGTGCTATGAACCCAAAGTTGTTTGCAGTTGTTGTCAAGCCACTTTCCATTAACTTAAAAGCTTTGGAATGGTCAGATTGAGACTCCATGATCTTGTCGACTTTTGGACAAAAGGTTATTCATTTTCGGTTTTACGTAATTGTCATTTTTCTAGTTATAGAAATTTTGTAGGTAAGAATGAATTTGCGGCCAAGTTATCACTTATCAATGGCGTAAAAACGTTGGAAATATTTTTGGCGAAATCAAATTTGGACGTGTTAGAACATACTCTAATAAATAATTTCTAGGCTACAATCACGAGCTTTTGATTGAGTTGGTTCCTTTATATAGTACTGGAGCATTATTGACACAGTAGGTACTCATTTACAATAACTGAATGGAAGAACTTTGATAATAATAAAAGTCTATGAAAAGACCACAATAATAATCCTAAATCCTTTAAGATCAACATATGAGTTCACACTATTATTGTTACACTGCTATACTCACTATATTTTCACACTATAACTGACACACTGTCATCTGTCTCCGCGAACTATCAGAGAGTGCCGCCGCCGATTGATTGATCATCCCACCATAATGCATTGTCATCACTTTTGTATCACAATGTCAACGTGTATTCTTATATCGCATTGCTATTATACTTCTATTTTAATCTTAAAAAACTTAAGATTCCCATTTTAGTCATTTTCATACTCCCTATGTCCTAGAATTATCTTCTTGTTTGCTTTTTCTAGGTCAAAGTTTTCTAACTTTGACTATACAATATGAAAAATATGTATTGAATTATGATATAAATTTAATATCAATAGATTCATTGTGAAATAAGGTTTAAAAATATCATTTTTCATAATATAAAATTATATATAAATAGAGATATTCATGGTCAACGGTTAATGCAATGAAGACTGTAAAAGTAAACAATAAGATGATTTTGAGACAGGGAGAGTATTTTTTTTACTCTTATCCAAGGAGATTTCTTTAACTCAATACTTATTTTTTATCAATGAAATAATATTTATTTTTTAGTAATTTCATTCTCATTTTTCTAAAATGGAGTTATGCTCTAAAATAAATATTCAGTTATTCAGAAATGAGTATTCTTTTACTTGAAAATAAATATTCATGCAGACGTACGAAAAACACTGTACATCTGGACGTATGATATAGGCACTCCTCCTACCCCTCTTTCTTCTCCTCTTCATCTTCATCTTCTTCTTTCGTTCATGCATCTTCATCAGTATCTCCAAGCCTCCATCACAATTAAGCATTCTCTCGCTGGTAAATATGAATTTTTTTAATTTTTTCTTAATTTCTCAAGAAAAAGCAAACTGTAATTTTGGAATCAAGTTTTGTTGGGAACTGTGTGTTAGGTTTATCCCACACCGGAAAAAACAATTAAATAATACTCCAACATAAAAAAACGAAGCTCTACTCATTAGTTTAAGTTTTTGAATAGAAAGTGAATCCGGACTTTATATATAGGTAAGTGGTCAAATCTCACCCAACACTACTCACAGTTCACTCGAGCCACCGAAATTTTAACATGGTATCAGAGCCAAGTTCGATTTATCCAGGCATCACCATGTGGGCTAGCTAAAAAGAGATTGAAATGCTAGACTGATTCATCCAAGTAGTAACTAGACCAGGCTAGTTACCACTTGAGAGGGATGTTGGGAAGGGTGTGTTGGGTTTATCCCACAATGAAAAAACTCAGACAGATTATACTTTCATATAAAGAAAGGAAAATCTTTGCCTATTAGCTTAATCTTTTGGATAGAAAGTAGACCTTGATTTTATATATGGGTAACAAGGTAAGTGGTTAAATATCACCCAACACTCCACCTAATTCATTCGGCCCACTGAAATTCCCACAAGATCCGGGTCTCTTTGTTCCTCGCAACCCATGGTTTTTTAATGTTGTTTTTGGATGTTTGGATGTTTTCTAAGGATGTTTTTACTATTTTGTGGATGTCTCTTTATTCTGACTTCTGAGATATATGGTTTTATGGATTATTATTATTATTATTATTATTATTATTATTATTATTATTATTATTATTATTATTATTATTATTATTATTATTATTATTATTGGGATGGGTGTGTTAAAATCTCTAAATATCCTTACTCCGGTTTAATGTTATTTAGTAATTTTTTGGACATTCATTTTTTAATATCCATTTTCCGTGAAATAAAAAACAAAAATATACCTTTTTTAGATTTTTAGCCAAACAATAGAAAAATAACTCATTTTCTAAAAGCCATTTTCCACAAGCCACTTTCTTGATTTCCAAACGGAACCTTAGTGCCGAATATCTCAGAATGTCCATAAGAAAATAGGATTAAAAGTAAGGTTAAAATTGAACTTCATTTAGCATTATTAAATTTTATATAACACTTTCATTATTTTGGCAACAAACCACAATGTCACATTGATAATCCTACCCC